AAGAGCACATGACAGGTCTAAGAGTCCCCATTCCTCTTTTTTGGCCATTCCAAGTTTTTTTTTTTTTTAAACAGGGGTGGTTTACAGGTTACCAGTTGCCAGCAGGCACGGCATCTGTCGTGTCTAACAGGTTCCTGTTGTGGACACACAGGTCTGCTCCTCCCTCTTAGGAATCCCCTGCCCCAGAAGCACTTCTGTAAACCACTGAGACCTTCCAGAGGACCGCTGGTTCTGGAGTGGACATCTGAGAGATTATGCACATAGGATCTGACTTCAGGCCTCACTCCTGCTGGACCTGCACCATCTGACGCCTGTGTTGAGAAGAGCATGCCCTGCCAAACAGATACGCAGTCCACCAGACTCCTCCATTTGGAAATGAAGCTCACAGAGGGCATCTGTTGCATCAGTGCGGTGATAAAGCTGGATGAGGTCCACACTGTGAGTGTGTCTGTATGCGCACATGTCCCTGTGCACGCAGATACGTGTGCGCTTGCACACGTGCATAGGGGTGGGGGCCGAGGATGACCTGGGTGCTATTTCTTGGGAGCTGTTGACCTTGGTTTTGGAGGCCGGATCTCTCACCGACCTGGGCTCATGGCTTGGGCCGTTGGGGAGCCCCGGGGACCCTCCTGTCTGTGCCTCCTTACCTCTATAAGTTCATTGTCTACTCAGCTCTTTTATGTGGGTCCTGGGAACTGAATACACGTCCTCACAAATCATCCTCCAGCTCTAGATTTACATGGAAACAAAACAAAATCCTTGTGGCTTAATCCTGTATCAAAATCTTAGTGGATCCTTCAAAAAAAAAAAAAAAACTTTTCTCTTTGATACTTCATACACTGCGTATGGCACATTCGGATCTCATTTGCACCCCAACTCCGTCTTTTCTCCCTCACCCCAGTTGACGCCTCTTCCTCTCTACAGAAAGACTCTTACACATCGTTTCATTTGTTTTTGTCTTGTGGCCCACCAAGTTTAACCGGGGCTGGCCGCATAAGCATGGGTGTAGAGCTGCCCATTGAAGGCTGGCAGACTCACCACTGACCACTCCTGACGACAGTGACTGCCCCCAACCCCGGTGTCCATTAATGGTCTCCTCTCTGGGGAGGAGCAGGCTTTGTTCATGCAGTGTTCTGGGCCCTGCTCTTCAATTCCTATAATTAAATGACAAGAGGTGGGGTCTAGGAAACCTTAAATTTAGCCACTGGCCCTGGTGATCCTGATGTGGTTTGGGGACTGCTCGTATCAGCTAAGGTGTTGGGTCCTTGCTCATACCTGGAGACGGACTCATTCGGCCTCTGACATTTTTCTAGACCTCACTGTGGTCTGCTGGATGGAGCAAATGGGAATCAGGGGGAAGGGTGAGAGGTCCTTGATTCAAGAACTGAAGTACCCTGGGGATTTAGTGAGGGCTGGGGCTGCAGTCCACAGGGAACCTCACTTTCCCTTTTCTTCCCAGGACTCTCAAAATGGATGTCACACCATTAGGACAGCACAGGACTTAGTGAGATTCAGTTAGGACTGGTTCTGTGAGCTGGACTTGAACCTCACCCCAGCGTGAGCAGGGTTCCTATGAGAAGGCTCCCTGTAGGATTTTACCAGCTGCCTTCTGAAGCCAACCCCTGTGCAGCTGTTGGGAGCCCCACTTTCCCTAGGGTGAGATGGCTCTTACCATGTGTTTGGACCCAAATACCCTTCTGTAGGATTGCGGCTTTTGAAGACCATGGATGCAGAGGAGAGGAGCCCCATCTTAGCCTGAAACTTTAGAATCTACAAAAAGAACTACTTCTGTGTGTGTGTGTGTGTGTGTGTGTGTGTGTGTAAGAGAGAGAGAGAGAGAGAGAGAGAGAGAGAGGGAGGGAGAGAGGGAGGGAGAGAGGGAGGGAGAGAGAGATTTGTGTGTGTGGAGGGAAGGTAGAGGGAAGACCCAGCTGGGCGGGCGGCCTGGGGATGCCTGCTTTGGAGCAGTGTGCGCTCCAGTGAGGTTTGTAACTTCAACACCAGCAACACTAATGCCACCTGACTCCCCCAACACACACACCTCCTTGATTCCCTCGTGGCATTCTTAATGCCAAGGCTGGTCTCTTGGGTGCAACATGCTTCATCAAGCAGTCAAAAGGTAAGAGATGACATTTGCAAAAAATCCATTCTTTCTTCTTTCTGCTTCACCGCTCTATTGACTTTTCCCATTCAATCAAATTCCACTCACAGCTACACACCCCATTCCAGGAACTGCCACGGTGAGGGGGTTTCCTGTCCTTTCTTCACCGTGTTTGCTGAGCCACTTGCTTCCTCATCCCCAACTGGGAAGGCCTGGGGGCGTTGCTGGTTTGGTCTCTGGTGTCTCTGGTGCCTAGCACATATGAGTGGGTTGATTATCTTTTCCCTGATTCTATCTGTCACCGTGATTCCTTGGCCCATGAACTCCAGCTCAGGCAATCTGCCAGAGCGTCCTCTATTGACTGGCTGTGCTGCACTTAGCTGAGAATGGTGGCTGGACTGGCCCCACCCTGAGCCTGGCCTTTTTCATGTTCCTGTGGACTTTGTCAGGGGAGGGAGTGGGGCTGCCAGATAGCCAATGTAAGAAAGACAGATGCCCAAACTGTAGATAACCTGGCCAGTGGCTTTCTGGGCTGCCTTGAATCTAGCTTTATTTCTCCTGGTCATTCCCCATTCTTGCTTATGAAGCCTGTGATGTGTAAATATTCTGAGTATGGCCCTGTGTGAGGCTGGAAACAGAGCCCTTGATCCTGGCTGACATCTTCCCCACATCTGTTGACAATGTGGCTCCTGCTGATTGGATGCCTTTATGTCCTGTCCTGCCGCCAACCCTCTACGCGCACTCCCAGCACATTTAGAGCAAATTTGTTTGTGGGTGGTTCAGGCTTATTCCATTCCTTCAACGGGTGATGGAGAAATACAAACTAGTTTGATTGACTACATCATGTGCTGGAGGCCAGTCTGTCAGCTAGGCCACTGCCCAAAGAGGGCCCTACAGTGCCAGCTCTGTCCCCACATCAATCACGGTCACGGCCAATCCCTGGAGGCTTTGTGCACTGCATCTCTTGCTTCCATCTGATCCTAACAACAGTCCCAAGAGGCTGATCTTTGTTCCTCTTCTGTCAGAGCTGCAGCAGTCCAGGGCCCGGGATTTAAGAACCCGCCCAGGGCTGCACAGCAAGTCCCAGCGAAGAGCAGAAGGAAATGTTGTCTTTCTGACCCTTGGATGATGTGTTCTACCTGGCCTGCAGCACTCAGGCTTCTGTAGTTCCTCAGCTCTGGGCTTGGCATGGACTCTCCGTGGGCACCTCACCCCTGTAAGTCAGCAGCATGCCTGGCTGCCCAGCTGAGCAGGCAGTGCCACCCATAGTTCTGAGGTAAGCAGCATGGAGGCCAAACCATCTTTTCTTAGATATATGTATCTCCCCTTAAGCCAGGTGTCAGTGGCGCACGCCTTTAATCCCAGCACTCGGGAGGCAAAGGCAGGTGGATCTCTGTGAGGTCGAGGTCAGCCTGGGCTGCAGAGGAGTGCCAGGATAGGCTCCAAAGCTACACAAAAAAACCTGTCTTGAAAAACAAAACAACAAAAAACCAAGTATCTCCCCTTGATGAATGATTTCTCTGTCAGCAGGGCAGCTGAGCCCTTGTTACAAGGTGGGGATTGCTAGAAGACCAGTCATTTCCAGTGACTGGAACACTGAAATGTCAGGCTACTCAGACTTTCCTGGGGACATGGGCAAGGAGGTTCTTAGCCCTCTTGATCCCAGCTGCAACAAGATTCTGGCCAGAGTTTAATGACAGCAAGTTCTAGAACTGATGGGTCTAGAGAAAGACTGTGACTAGAGACACTGTGCCCAGACACTGCATGGAGTACTTCAGCTGTCTGTGGAGGGTAAAGGGACTTCTGAGCAAGGTGGGCAAGTCTCATTTCCCTCTTTACAGATGTGAACGAGAATTCCCGGAGAGAAGCTCTGTCTGCGGGGATTTCTTGGCTGATTAGAGTTTCAGTTCACTGGCAAGACTGGAATGCTACAGATCCAGATGCTGGTTACCTTATCTTGGGCTAGTTCTATCACCCCAGAACAGCCATTCTTTGTTCACACAAAAGTGTCAGGACAAATATCTTATGACAATAGAAAACCCCCTTTTAATATCTATTATCTTAGCAGCCTACCAGCCTCTGCCAACCAGGAAGCTTTAGTGCCCTGAGCCTGTAGAAAACCTTCCCCCATCTCACTGTACCTGTCTTTCTTTCTTTCTTTCTTTCTTTCTTTCTTTCTTTCTTTCTTTCTTT